CAGTGCTACCTTTTGTCTTTATGCAGTGCTACCGAATGAGAAACATAAATGAGAACCATGAAGTTTAGTCTGGAGAGTGGTAATCATGATTGAATAATTTTTTTTTTTCTTTTTTGCTTTCCCTTTTTTGTTCATTAACTGAGGAATGAATATGTACCTGCACTGTCCACTATGTTTTTGCTCTATCAGTGTTTACAAAGATGACACGAGAATTCTTTAGTCACCTAAGAGTCATTTACTGGGTGCATCTTACCTCACTTTTTTATCCCATTTCTTAAATTTTCAGAAGAAAAATGTTGATTTTCTTATAAAGATTATAATAATGATATTAATGTTATTGATAACAATGAGAATAGTAATATATATAGATAGATATAGATATATAGATATATAGATAGATATATTTTCTTTGAATATTTAAGAAACAGGATAAAAAGGTGAGTGCAAGTAGGCCTGTTTGTGAAGCCATCTATATGTAAAGAGATGGGCTTTGGCATCTGCCATGAAAAGGTTGGGGATTGAACTGTAAATGAAAAGGAAACCTTAAAGAAGCAGTTAATAGTTTATGGATACCATTGACTGGCTCGGCACAAAAGCCCCATTGCTAGATAGGATGTAGTCTTCTGAACTGTAACTGAGAGTCAAAGGAATTAATAATATACTTTGATATGCTTTACTATACTAATTTTCAGTAAATATTGATTGACTTTGATCTAGTCAAAAAGGAAAAAAAATATTGGAATATATACAAACAGCATCTAAAAAATTGTATGTCAGTTGTAGACCGACAAGTTAATATCACAAGCTCATGAAGCCTGGAAGCTTGTTTTGATGAACATGAAAGGTTTATGAAGCTGGTATATATTGATTTTGTTTTCTTTATTTCTGAGTTTTAATGTGCAAGCTCAAGATACACAAAAAAAAATCCCAAAACCATATTCACAAAGTGACAAAGGAGAGGCTCGAGCTTTGGTCTGACTTCCTTCGCTTTCATTGCCGTAGGATGACATGAGCTGGTGTGGAGGGGGAGCGTCAGCAGCTGTGGGAGCCCCCGGTGATGCCCCACAGTCTCCCAACAACTCGGCAACATCATCCAGGTCCTCCGGCTGTGACTCCAACACCGAAGAGCCGTGCCAGCCACACCCAGGCATGAGAGGTGGGTTTCAGTGGTGTCATACAGTGTAAGGTATCATGCTGATTTTTTTTTTTTTTTTTCTGTATTATGGTTATTAACTCATTTGTATTAGATTTTTTATTCTTGTCTCGTAGGTGCATTGTGTGTTGAAAATGTTTTTGTCATTTCATTTTGCTTGTTTCATTTTATTATTATGCTGTTTATGTGATATGAATCATAGGCCTATTACAGACTCTGTAATTTGAATATACTGATTGTTATTTATTTTTTTTTTTTCCCAATACTTCTACAAATAGTAGTGTTTGATTTTGTGGATTAGTATCGTCATCAGATATTTTATTTGTTTTTCTTTCCTTTTTTTTGCGGGCAGGAGGCATGTTTTTCCCCCTGTACTTGCTCATTCACATTTACAATTTGGCAGTTGCTGAAAACTAGACCCAGAACGAAACTACTATGCTGAGAACAACTTTAAGGCTATATCAGTTTAACTAATTCATATTACATACTTCAGTTAAATTTCTTGGGGAGAAGACTGCTCAAATAATGTGAGATGTTAGAATGGTATCATACCCGTTAAACACAAATATAATCTTTCAGATGTTGGAGTATGGCTCAAGTCCCTGCGTTTGCACAAATACTCTCCTCTGTTATGCAACCTCACCTACGAAGAGCTGCTGGCCCTAGATGAAGCTACCCTGGAGAGCCAAGGGGTGACCAAGGGGGCTCGACATAAAATTGTATTGTCCATCGCCAAGCTAAAAGAACGTCACAAGCAGCTTGTCCAAATCGAGAAAGTAAGGAATTCAGTATGCAACTTAATTGTTTATTAATTCATCATATTGTGGAGAACAGTCTCCAAATCAGGATAAGGAAAACATATATTTTGTAACGCTTAAAGACATAAGACCATTTTCGAATGTCACACTTTATGTATCTATATCTGTTCAAAAGGTTTTGATCCCATGGTACATAGTTCATGTTCCGTATTAACCTCCACCACTACAGGAAGTGATGAATGGTGGCAACCTTTTCTGCTGCCTCAACGACCTCAAGTCCATCATCCTCACCCCCTTCCCCCCTTACACTCCCCCCACCGACAAAGGGCAGCCGCCTCCCCCACCTCATTCCCAGTCCACTCCCCCGCCCGAGCCCACTACTTCCTCTTCGTCCTCCCTGTCTTCCTCCCTACCCCCTGCCTCCTCCTCGTCCTCCTCCTCTTCCACACCTACCTCCACCTCCACCTTCTCCTCCACATCTTCATCCTGCTCCTCCTCTATCACCACAACTACCACCACCTCATCTGCATCCTCGCTACCCACTTCCTCCTCCTCCTCGGCATGTTCACTGAGAGGGGACGAGAGAGAGGCCTTGAAAGAGGAGCGGTGTGAGGCTTCCAGGCCAGCTGTGGAGGGAGATGGAGGCAGCTCCATCCCCGAGGATGACCTGCCTTCACAGTTCACAAGGGTCATGGGGAAAGGTAAGATATCAGTTCATGTGTCTCATTTTTTATCTTTCTTGATTTTCTTTCCCTTTTACTCACTCTTGCTGTCTAATAGCAAATGCTATTAGATTATATGAGGTTAATTTCAATTGCCTTCCTTAAAAGTGTATAGAAATGGGTAAAATCCAGACCTGCCAATCCTCTTTATATTTTACCATGTTACATTTTCTCAGTACTTATTTTCCTCCATCATTCACTTTCCTTTTTGCCAAAAAGTGGGCTTACAGTTATTGGTTATGCCCTTAAAATCACATAAAAACTTTCATAGCTTATCAGGAAATGTGTACACAACTTTCAAATATGTATGCTCACGATACTTATTGTGAGTTTTTCTACCCTTCCTCCTGAATTTTGCTTTTCAAATGGTGTGCACATCTTGTATAAGCTTAACCTTTTTTTGCTTTCTTTCTTTTCTTATCTTTTCAGTTCTTTTTTGTAGGTTATAGTGTATTCACAGTTATCAATTACTCATATATTGCGCCTTCCCTGTATCTTTTTCTTTTTACATTGTTAGCAGATGTGTGCAAACATAACCCTAAATATGTCTTTTCTTCCCTTCCCCTTTTTTTTTTCTTTTTTGTAAATAGTGTGCACGCAGTTACTGGTGAGTGTGAGGCCAGAGGACGAGTGTGTAACAGCATTCCTGGGTCTGGTGGAAAAGTGCGTGAACCACGAGGCATTCACACTGGCGCAGACAAGACGGCTGCAGTCGTGGAAGCAGCAGATCATCCGTGTGTGGCACCCTCTGCCTCCCAAGACCAAGGACAGTCGCCACACCCGTCGGTCAGTCTTCAGATCATGATGATGATGATGATGATCTATGCTTGTTTTTTTGTTTTCCTTGTAGATTTAACTTGAACAACTTTTTAAGAAAGCTCGTAAAAACAAATTGTGAATCTTTTTTTTTTTTCTTTTATGTCTAGATTAAGAATGTTGCAAATTTTCAGGAGCTGTTTTTTCATAGGACTTTTTTCATAGTAGCAAGTTAGATTAGTTCATGACGCAGATTTGGTTTTAGCGAAAGGTATTTTAACAGCGTGGATATCCACCAGTTTTCTTCAGCTTTGGGCAAAATTGTTATGTAGCCTAAGAAGCAATTAAATGAATACTCTTGTTTCTTTCATCATACCTCGACCCTCTAAGGTGGAGTCAGCAGTATGGAGGTGATGGGTTCATTGGTGGTTCCTTCAGAGTCCCTCGAGTTGGTGGGCAGCGGCACTCGCACATCCCCGCAGGACTTCTCATGGGAGGCAAGGGCTTCCCCGCGCCGCAGCCGCATCCGCTCTTCCCGCTCCCTCCCGCCGCCGCTGCCGCCGCCGCCGCGAGTCTCGGGGGCCTCATGAGTCCTCGGAACAGCCTGCCGGGCTTGCCCTCACTCGGCGTCGGCGGCCTGCTGTCCCCGCAACAGTTCCTCGCCAAACGACCTTCGCTGCAGGAGACCCCTTCGGAGGTAAGTGCCCATTGGCTTGTCCTTTTATTTATCAGAAAGCTCTCGTTAAATTCAAAACCGAAGCAAAATATCACTCGGTTGGTTTTTAAATCAGTTACCGTCATTTTGGTTGTTGATCCGAGACTGAGTGCCGCCTTCTCGCCCCGCAGCAGTTGCGGCCCCACATCACGCTGCAGAGGACCCGCTCGGCCCCGTCCCGTCCCCACCAGTTACCTCTGAGCGGCCACGCGCGCTCCGTGCCCCCGCCCACCACAAGCCTCGCCCCCGGCACCTCCGCGTGCAGCGACCTCCGCCTCTCGGGAGCCTCAGGGACTTCGGGCACGGTCCTCGAGCCGCACTTCTCCCCGGCGACGTCCTACTCGCACCTCGGGCCGCCTCCGTCGTCGCCGGACCCAGCTGACAATGACATCACGGACCGCCTCGAGTCGCTCTGCCTCTCGGTCACGGAGCACGCGCTGGGCTAAGTGCAAATCTTGTTACAACCAAGGCATTCACCATCCACAAATACCACGTGACGGGGTCTTTTATAGGTGGATTATTGGGAAAATGTTTGCTCTTACGCATTAGTATTTTTCTGTGACAGACGTCTACACACGACACGTTCAGTTGCTCATTAACTCCTTTGCACAAGCATATACGTAAATATTCACATACACAGATGTGCAATACAAACATACACACGTGCTCAGGTACACATGCTGACACAGACAAAGCATCACACCAGCACACTAAGACAGTTATGCAATCATACTTGTATGCTGATACATGCACACGCATACACACACACACACACACACACACACACACACACACACACACACACACACACACACACACACACACACACACACACACACACACACACACACACACACACACACACACACACACACACACACACACACACACAGTTATTTTTGTTCAGTGCAGAAGAGACATTTTAATTACTCCAAGAGAGAAGTATGGTATGCAGTCGTTTTGAAACCCAATGTCGAGGAGTGAATTTATTTTTTCCGCCCGAAAAACCGGCAGGAGAAAGCAAAATTTGGAATTTGGAATCGGAGAGAGTGACAGCTCACTTAAGTGTTATTTTGAGTTACCAAATGAAGACTAAGGGCCAATTATGAGTCACCCTGTTCTTGAGTTCTGCAGTTGCAACGAATTTTCTACATTCAAAAGAAAAAGAAAAAAAAAAAAAACAATGGGATCTCTTTATAATTTCTTTGAAAATGAAGAGTATTAGACAGTGTCGGAATCTGAGGCACTGTTTTCCGTTTTTAAGTCTTTAGTTCCAGAGTGCGAATAGGTGGCACTAGAAAATATCGCTCATATGAATTTTTTTTTGTAAGAAACGACTGTACTTCAACTGACTCTGGAAGAAAATATACTCGTGTTTTTTCTTTTGTGGATGGTGAATCGAATTTATATTTTTATTTGGAAATCTAAAAAAAAAAATAACAAAAACAGAATACAAAACAAACCACGAAATAATTTATTGTTGGGAAACCATGTATAATGTGCCTGCTGTTCTATTAGGTCACTGGGGAGACGTTTAATAAGTAATAAGAATATCCTTTGCTGTGCAGGGATGCCTCCGCCAAGCTGTGCTCGGTGGATGGTTTAGTTACCTCCTCGGTGGATGGAAGACAGGTAGCCTTTTTTGTTTTTGCTTCGGTAATTCTTCTTCAGGAAAGAGAAAAAAAGTGTCAAAGAAGAAGAAAAGGGGTAACCGTTGACTCCTACTGCCCTTTTATCCTTATCCCTCTTCCTTCTTCCTTCCTTCCTTCGTTCTGTTTGCCCTCGCATAGTCTTTACCCTCGTGCCATCTCCCTTTTTTTCCTTCCATTTCCTCCCCCCCTCCTCAATTCCTCCCTTTCCTTCTCTTCCCTCTCCTTTTTCCCGCGTCCATTTCCTCCCTCCCCCCTTCTCCCCCCTCCCCAACTTACCAAAAGTCTTCTACCTCTCTTCTTCTATTCCTTCTCTCGTCAGATATCTTGCCCCCCCTATCCTACCCCACCCCCAACCCCTAACCCCACCCCCAACCCCACCCCGTTCCTCACCCCAAGCAAGTCACAGTCTTGATATTGATACGATTAAAATAAAATAAAAAAATAAAGATTTGTGTGGTACACTGTTCTTTGGCATGACAGTGTACACGCAGCAATATGACGCCAGCGTGAGAAGCTACTGTGTGGCATTATAGATTTCCCATGGCGAGTGCTTTGTTCATTGACTGTATTTAAGCCTGTATCAGCTGTACATAAAGTAGCTTATGATTATTGATGATAGGATTATGAATGTTTTTTTTTTCCTCCCTCTCTTTCTCTTACCTTCTTTTTTTAGTTTTTTTCTTTTCTTTTTTTCTGTTTTTTTTTCTTTCTTTCTTCTAAAACTTGTTAAATCATAAATAACACCAAAATCTGAATAATATAGTGTGATAGTCTCGAGACGTGTACACAGTTATGTTTACTTATTAAACCATTTTGAAACCGATTAGCACCTTTATTATCCTATGGTGTAGTACTTCAGTTGCTTAATTAAGAATGAAATTATTTGTTTCTTATTTGTTAGATATCCGATTTGATTGAGTGAATATTTTCTTGGTACTTTCAAAGATTTAGGAAAAGTGAATTCCACCAAAGTATGTGTTCAAAGCATTTAATTAATGTTTGCTTGCGAATGGTTGACTGTGGTTATGTATGTCAGATAATGAATAAGAGTGAATAAACTGGAAGATATTACTAATAATTTAAAAATTGACCTGAGGAAATTGAGTAAAAGTAAATCCTAAATGAGTTAATGGAAAGTGTACAGGGCCCATGATATTGAAAGAACAAATGGAACTACACAGAAAATAATGAAAAATATTTGAAGAGAAGAAGGAAGCTAGGAGAAAATGTATTGATATTAGAAAAAGAAATTATTTTGCCGTGTAGTTGACAAAGTGATTAAGATGTGCATCTTAAAGAGTTTTTTTCACTAAAGGATCCATTTTCGGAGGTGATCTTCCTCCACATCTCGGTTCATGGATGTGCAAAACGTAACACTATATAATGATACAAACATATATGTATACACATATTTGTATATGTATTTATTCATTTATATGTGCATACGTGCGGGCTTTTGTGTGTGTAGTGTAGAAACACTTGTTTCAGTACCATTGAGTTCTTGGAAAGTATTAGACAGATGTCTAAAACAGGAATAAAAGAAATAAAGTGGAAGGAGCCTTGGTACAGACATTTTATTTGAGTTTGTAAGGTATGCATTTATACCGTATATCATTTACACCGTACAATAATATATGCAATATACATAAAGATGCGATTATATATACACATACATATGTTTTTATTAATATAAATATAAATATATATATATATATATATATATATATATTATATATATATATATATATATATATATATATATATATATATATATATATAATAATATAATATATATATATATATATATATATATATATATTATATATAGTATGTATATGCTCATACACATTCAAACTCATACACACAAACAAACACATTCACTTCGTTGCAATCGAAGTCGTTTCGCAACACCCGGTTCGGGGGTCGTTCGTGTGTGTGTCTCGAGCGTCGCCCTCCTCGACCCGACGCGTCCCTCTGCAGTCGCCGACGTCGTCCCCCCCCCCCCCCCTCAGTGCTGGTCGACGCTGAATCCTCGGCGAAAACTGGCGAACTCTTCAATTTCGATCTTCTTGTCTTCTTTGGCGTTCTGGGGTCTCGACTCTCCGGGAACTACGCGTAGAAAGCAACATGGGAGAAATGGGTCACGTTAGGTATGTGGTATTCGATGCGGTGGAGACTTCGTTGCTTCGACTAAAGACATTTATTTTTATGTTCATTTTCTAAAGACATTTATTTTAATATTCATTTTCTAGACTAAAGACATTAATTTTTATATTCATTTTCTAGACTAAAGACATTTATTTTTATACTAATTTTCTAGACGACATTTATTTTTATATTCATTTTCTAGACTAAAGACGTACTTTCATATTCCTTTTCTAGACTAAAGACATTTATTTTTATATCCATTTTCTAAAGACATTTTTTTTAATATTCATTTTCTAGACTAAAGACTTATTTTTGTATTCATTTTCTAGCCTTAATCCTTTACGTTCTAAATGCTGAACGGCCCACCTGACACCGGGTGCATGAGCTTGAAGGGCAGGTCCGCCACCAGCTCCCCCCCGAGGGCGCCGCAGTTGAGGCGGACGCGGAAGGAGTAGGACACGATGATGCCCAGGGCGTCGTTGGGGTCCTTGCCCGTGCCCACGAGGGTCGAGGAGGCCAGGTTGGCGTCCGCGTCCTGAGGGGTCCGAGGGAGATTGTAGGGAAGGGTTTTTTTTTTTTTTTTCTCTCTCGTGTCCTCGCTCGCTCGTTCTCTTTCTTTCTTTATTTCTCTCTCTCTCTCTCTCTCTCTCTCTCTCTCTCTCTCTCTCTCTCTCTCTCTCTCTCTCTCTCTCTCTCTCTCCTCTCTCTCTCTCTCTCCTCTCTTCTCTCTCTCGTCTCTCTCTCCTCTCTCTCTCTCCTCTCCTCTCTCTCTCTCTCTCTCTCTCTCTCTCTCTCTCTCTCTCTCTCTCTCTCTCTCTCTCTCTCTCTCTCTCTCTCTCTCTCTCTCTCTCTCTCTTTCTCTCTCTCCTCCTCTCTCTCCTCCCTCTCTCTCTCTCTCTCTCTATCTCTATTTCTATCTCTCTCTCACTCTCTCTCTCTCTCTCTCTCTCTCTCTCTCTCTCTCTCTCTCTCTCTCTCTCTCTCTCTCTCTCTCTCTCTCTCTCTCTCTCTCTCTCCCTCTCTCTCTCTCTCTCTCTCTCTCACTTTTACTCTCATTCTCACAATCTCTGACTACATAAAATCCCTGAGTATTGATGAGTAGCTCTTCACTGATGCAAACCGAAACTGACACGGATGGAAAAAATATAATATGAACTGACCATATGTTGTAGTTTTTTAACCATCATCTAATATATCTTGAACACCAACCAACCACTGCGACGATATTCTTTCCGATTGTTACTGAGGACGTGAAGTATAACAGATAAATGGGTGAACAGCATCGTGAGAAAATACTAATAAACAAAGGGGAAAGTTGATAAGAGGCAATGAATCAGTGAAGGGAGATGGAAGCCGATAACTGGCGTGGAAATGCAGGTTGGTCTAGCACTCTGGTTGTTAGCGATATCGTCATTCTTCTTCTTCTTCTTCTCAGCTTTCTCCCATTTCTGTTTGGGATCGCCGTTATGTTTAAGCCACCTCCTATTACGGCTCATTTCATATTGATTTTGGCAGGGGCTTTAACTGTCGAATGCCCTTCCTGACACCAACCCTCTCTATTCATTTATTTTGCCGATTTCTTGAAAAATTGCCGTCATTTTTATTAACTATGAAATGGGTTTATGTGTAGTATATTACTCTATTCTGGTCATTAATTGATTAAATTTTATGACATGATCAATACTGTATTAGGTGCTTGCATGGAAGATGTTATTTTTTCAAATTCCTCTATACCTTTATCACAGTCGTATGATTAATGAATATTCCTAACATAACTAACCGTATACTAATTAAAACAAACATCAAGCGTAAATATCCTCAGTTCCCTATCCCTTATTCAGTCTCACGGTTGACCTACCTTGACCTTGCCGTCCAAAGCGATGCCTGCTTTGACCTTGTTGTTGCAGGCCTGAGGTGTGAGGGTCATGTTCTTCTTTACCATTCCTTTGTGGCCAATGGGACAGCCTTCCTTCGACTCCACGCTCGCCACCTGGAGGGCAGTTTGACGTTCTATTATTGTTATTTTGTTATTGTCTTTGTTGTAGTGTTGTTATTGTAGACGCCATTTGCTCTATCGGTAGTCTCTAGTTTGTTGTGATTTCGGTATTTGTCATTCTCTTGTCTTTATTTTAGCTTTTATGATTCGGTGGTCGGTACTTCTCGATCGCCAATTTGGTGGGGTTCGTTTGAAAAATTGCTTTTGGCAAATATATGTCTTGAGTTGGATTGTATTCTTCCGAAAAGTAATTCATGGTCTGTCTGTGGCTTAGTGATGTTTATCCGGGTAAAACAGCGTTTAGAAGCTATTATATATATATATATATATATATATATATATATATATATATATATATATATATATATATATATATATATATATATATATATATGTATATAATTATATATATGTGTGTGTGTGTGTGTGTGTGTGTGTGTGTGTGTGTGTGTGTGTGTGTGTGTGTGTGTGTGTGTGTGTAATGTCTTGAATTAGAAAGAACAGTAAATAAATAAGAAAAAGGATTATCGGTGACTGAAGGAATATGCAGTGAATATCACATAGGGGTTATTTTCGTGGTATTTGTGTGTGTGTGTAAAGAACCAGTACCTCAAATTACAAAAAAATAATAAAAAAAATCCAAGGGTCGTATTCATTCAGGTCCCATGACGCAAAAGTGTTACCTCGCGGTTGAAGTGGTTGTTGGTCATGGTGACTTCGATGTGCTGGACGACGGCGCACTTGATGTTCTTCACCGACTTCTTGCTGTTGTTGTTGATGGTGAGATCAGCCGACAGGGGCTCATCGTGGTAATAAACGTCTTTGTCCAGACTGACCTCCAGATTGATTTTCCCGGAGGAGAAGACGAACCCCTTGGACACGACGGCGCTGGGCTGGCGGCACGGCGAGTCTAGGGGACAGTACTGCACCTTCCTGACGGCGAGGCTGACGGCGCTTCGCCTGTGTGGGATTTCGGTGCTGTCCTTTGCTACGTACACCTGTAGTTCGTAGATGACTCCGAGAGGTTTGGCCTGGAAGGGGGTCAGGCGCAGGGTCATTGGAAAGCTTAGGTGGAGGGCTAATGAATGGGTATAGTGTGGATATTTAATACCGACCTATTAATTGATTAGCGATTAACTGGAAGACTTTGGTGAAGGACTCGTGAACGGGAACGACTTTGATATTGGTATCGTCTTATTTCTTTAGAGATTTAGATAGGGGTTAGGAAAGTATGCTTCATGTTCAAGAAATATAGATAACTTAACAGATAGATAGATTCTATGCTTCATGTTTAAGAAATATAAATAACTTGATAGATAGATGCAATGCTTCATGCACAAGAAATATGAATAGATAGTATGTCATGTTCAAGAAATGGAAATAGATATATAAGTCGTTAAAGAAATATGATTAAATAGAGAGCATGCGTCATGTTCAAGAAATATAAATAAGTAGAGAGTATGCATGTCCAAGAAATATAGACAGAAAGAAAGACAAAGCCAAGCCGAAGCCCGCGCCCCACCGTGTGCTGCGACCCGGAGGAGAGCTGCACGGACACCGGCGCTTCTTCGGGCAGGTGCAGGTTGAAGGGATGGGCGTCCCCCCCGATCTTGTTCATGAGGCGCTGCTGCACGTCGTTGGGCGCGGCGGACACCAAACTCGGGTGAACTTGCTGGCAGATCAGTTGCATCTCCTTGCTGAAGCTGAGGCCCATCACCTCGTCCTCCTCTCGACCGAAGCGGTACGTCACGGTCACCTGGCGGAGGAGGAACATATTTTTAGCAAGGAAGTTCAAGTAAAAAAAGGAAAAAAAGAAGAAAAAAGGTAGATAGATAAAATCTGTAAATCAATAAATAGACATAGATAGATAAATAGATCTTGTCCACTGGGGGAAGTAGAGTGAATCTTATTAAGGTTGGATGTTAATGAATAGCTGTCTGCGGAATCAGACTAAAATATCTGAAGAATGAATAAACGCAAAAGTAAGATCAAAAAGAAAAACAGAGGAAAGATAGTACAAGAGAATTAATGAAAGGTAAGATATATCATGTTAAGATATAACCAAGCCTTAAAGTTTGATTTGTAGATTAAAGGGTTCAATCTGAAATAACCCAAAGAAAGATAAAAGCAATATGATTGTTAAATCCGATGGGGATAATATGCACATGTGTTTCTCAACTTCTCTTCTTCGCACGAAAAGACAAAAAAAAAAAAAATAATAAATAAATAAAATCAGGACAAAAGAGAGAAAAATAATCAGATCAGGAAAGAAAGAATAAGTGAAAAAACAAAAGAAAAAAAGCAAAATAAAACAAAAGAAACAAATAAATTTAAACAATAAAGAATAAAGAGAACATAAAGAAATACAAAAAAATGAATAAATTAAACAAAATACCGAAAAAACATGAAAAAATAAGAATGATAAAAAGACATCAAAATGATATAGAAAAAGATAGATAAAAACTACACAAAACACGGTATTGAAAATGAAAGTGAGAAAGACATCGTATAAAAAATAATAAAACAAGCATAGAAAAACACAACATAAGAAGTTTGAGTGAGAAAAAGGCACTAGAATAATTAAAAAAAAACACGCAAAA